CTCTCTCTGTCTCAAAAATAAATAAAAACATTAAAAAAAATTACAGAGAAAAGTTTCTCTTGCCCTTCCCTACCAGGTTTCACATTCAATAAATGTTTTAATAATACTGTATCAGTTTCAAAACTGGTCATGAAAATGATTATGAAACTCTAGTTCGTTTCTTCTAACTTCAACTATGGCATAGACAATAAAGGTAGTGAGAATAGATTAAATTTCTTTTGAGGGAATAGTAGTTGAAATGTGTTTGGTCTGGTGATCAGAACAGGTCTGGGATATGTTGCCTATTTCCTCCAATTTGGGTTTTCTGAGATAATGAAATGCTTTTGTATGGTAAAACGTCAGTTGACTGCTATCCAACAAACCATAAGCCTCACGTGGGTGTGCTGTGTTTGTTGACTGATTTTTAAGGATGGCCGTTAGGAGCTGCTAACACTCCTCAGGCCTAAAGGTGATGGTGAGTAAAATCGTATAGAGGTTGTCTTGATGCTCAGAAATCCAAGGGCAGGGTGCTTTGCTCAAAGAATTGTCCAAGCCGTTGTAAAGGACAAGCCCGAGGTTCTTGGGGTGAATGGAAGAGAGAAGGTTGGACTGAGCAGCAGGATGGCAGCTGGAGAACCATGATGGGGCTGCAAGGTGGTATAAAGAAGGCTGAGGGTGAGTCCTGAGGAAATAGAAAAGGGACACATGGGAACGTACAAGGTCAAGCAACTTCAAAGGAGCATCTTTTGCTATTTCCAAGCTTATGGTATAAATTTAGGGGCGCCTGGGTGGCTCAGTCAGTTAAGTGTCCGACTTCGGCTCAGGCCATGATCTCGTGGTTCAGGAGTTCGAGCCCCGCATCGGGCCCTCTGCTGACCGCTCAGAGCCTGGAGCCTGCTTCGGATTCTGTGCCTCCCTCTCTCTCTCTCTCTCTCTCTCTCTCTCTCTCTGCCCCTGCCCCACTCTCTCTCTCCCTCTCTGTCTCTGAAAAATAAACAAACATAAAAAAAATTAAAGTGGTGACCCCGAGCACAGGCAACTTAAAACCTTTAGTCTTGTTTATGAGATACCCACTTCTAAGACAGGAACAATTGCTTGTTATAAACTTTTCAACAAAAACAAGATTTGTAGGCTTTTTAGGGGATTAGCCTTCGTTAACCAGAGACCATCCCATTACCAGAGACCATCCCATTACCCCAAGTTTCCATCATTCCGCCTTGAGAAGCTCCGGAGTTCAGGTGCCAAATGTGGTGTTTCGAAGCCAGTTCCCTCATCCCTAAAGGCTTTTCTTTTGTTCTACACGTTTAGTTTTCTGTTGTTTGCCCATCTGAAGAGATTATACAGTCTGTAAATTCATTTTTTAGAGTTTAGAGAATTTAGTGTGTGTGTGTGTGTGTGTGTGTGTGTGTGTGTGTGTGTGTGAGAGAGAGAGAGAGAGAGAGAGAGAGAGAGAGAGAGAGAGAGAGAGAGAGAAAATCTGAAGCAGGCACCACGCTGTCAGTGCACAGCCCAACATGGGGCTCGATCCCAAGGACCGTGACATGACCTGAGCCAAAATCAAGAGTCGGTCGCTTAACAGACGGAGCCACCCAGGCGCCCCTGTAAATCCTGTTTTGTCAACTGTGTGCAGGTGTGTGTTCTCAGGCTCGAGTGAAGTACAGAAGTACACGTTCAGGCAGTGCATCTCCCCCACAGAATTCTCGGGTTTCTCACAT